TTTTTTTCTCTCTCTCTCTCTCTCCTCTCTCTCTCTCTCACAGACTCCCACACACACATTCACCTGCAACAAAGTGAGTCTCCTCCGGCACCTCACACTGTCGCAGCCATCGGCGGCGGCGACATCAACATCGCCGAAAACGACCACCACTGTAGAAGCGGCCAACCGGAGCTCCGCCGTCGAAAATGGAGTTTTCCGCTGCACGGCAAACACGCGCCTCCCGCTGCCGCCGTCGGGCAATCGGTCGGCTCCGCCTTCCACAGTCCGCTCATAAGCCACCGCGGTCTTCATCTGCTGAAAATTGAGCCGCGTTGCTCCTCTGTGTAGTCGCCGGAAATCTACATCGTCGAAGAGCTGCTCGAACCGGAGATCTTCATCTGGCCGAGGCGTGGTGGCAGAGCTCGACGGGTTTACAAGCTCAGGCCCATGGCAACGCCGGCTGCGGCGCCGTTAATCAGAGATGGTGACAAAATTGTGTTTTGATTTGGGAGGACTTGTGTTTGAAAATTAGATAACATTTAGGGGCATATTTGCAATTTCAGTATTTTTGTATATTTCAATTTAGGTCATGGGTGCAATTTGTAATTAACAAATCTTAATTAAATTTTAATATTTCATTTATTTTTTGTTGGTTGGATTTCGGTCGATTTTGTGCAATCTGGTAGTCAATTATGTGCATTACGTATAGTCATAAGGTGCAATCGTAACACATAAAAAATGTAGATAAAAAAAAGTGTTGTTTATAATATATATTCAGTCAATTTGCATAATTATTGTAATTTGGTAGGTACAGTGTGTTGTTTATAAGGTGCAACATGACGTGTTATAAGGTGCAACGTACCGTCGTATAAAGTGCAATGTATTGATCTATAAAGTGCAATACTGAAAACAACTAATATTATTCGGCTGATTAGCATAATAATTGTAATTTTGGTATGTTGGTAGATTAGCATAATTATTGTAATTTTAGTAGGTGCAGCGTATTGTTTATAAGGTGCAACATTACATGTTATAAGGTGCAACGTACCGTTGCATAAAGTGCAATGTGATGATCTATAAAGTGCAATACTTCGTGGATATATGATTGATGTATATTAAAGTATTATGTAGAGTGAAATGTGTTATTTTTTAAAGTGCAACATTATGTTGTATAAAGTGCGTTAATTTATAGAATTTCTTATAAAGTGCAATGTGTTGTCTTATAAAATGCAACAACCCCTGTATAAAGTGCACTAATGTATATATTAAATTATGTGTATTAAAAAACTAGTTTTAATATATATAATTGTACATTGAATTAGTTTAAATAATTATTTTTTATTATTGTTTTAGTTGTATAATTTATTAATTATTAAAAAATATTTTCATACTATTTTATTTTTTTACAATAATTTTTTAATGATTTATATATTATATATATGCATAAGAAGGTGTATAAAATAATTTTTTTTAATAACATTCAATAATTACAGATTTGACCCTATGTGTCAAATTGAAATATACTTAAAGTTGTTAAAATTGCAAATAAGCCCCTTGACATAATCAAATTCTCAAAAAAAGGCCCAAACAAAAAATATAATTTCAGATTTTCTAATGCCCGTATCACCCCCTCTCACATCTGCTATGGTGTCGTTCGAGCTCCAGGAGGTGGCGGGTTGTCCGGCGGTAGAGTTGTTCGAAGTTC